TATGTGAATGTCATACTTGTAGTAGGATTTCGAATGGACAAAGCGTTTCTAAAATCAAAGTGTTTCCAAAATGTTTGACTAATGTATAATTTTAGCCTTGATGTTTGAAAAGAAAACAACCCTGCAGCCCAAAATGGCAATCAGCAAACAGTGATCCAGTTTCTGACTCACATTAAGTCTGGATCTACAAAGGTTGTGACATTTGAGTACAAATAAATTCATATAATAAATATATAGTATATGATACATAACATTTCCCTCTACCAGGGGCCTGAACAAGATCTTAGCTTAGTTGGGAGCTGTTAGAGCCACTTTTCTAGTTTAAGGGTCACAGCACCAAGCCATGACCTAGCTGGAAGACTGGGGCAGTGATTTTATGTCAACATGACTTTGGTAGAGGCAGCACGGGGGCGCAACTGGTAGAGCTGCTGCCTCTCAGCGAGAAGGTCCTTGGTTCAAACCCCGGTCCAGGGGCCTTTCTGGGTGGAGTTTGCATGTTCTCTCCGTGCATGCGTGGGTTTTCTCCGGGTGCTCCGGTTTCCTCCCACAGACCAAAAACATGCATGTTAGGCTGATTGGTGACTCTAAATTGTCCCTAGGTGTGAGTGAGAGAGTGAATGGTTGTTTGTCTCGTTTGTCTCTATGTGTCCCTGTGATGGACTTGCGACCCGTCCAGGGTGTACCCCGCCCCTCGCACAGTGATTGCTGGACATGGGCACCAGCGACCCCCGTGACCCAAAATGGAATAAGCGGGTAAAGAAAATGGATGGATGGATGGATGGTTTGAACCCCGGTGCCCCCGACCTCCTAGCACCTTTGGTTGTGTAATGAGCAAGAGACATAAACATGAAGCCATGCCGGCTCAGATTATACGAAACCAAGATATTCTGTTAGGAAACGAGTTACTGGAACACTTTACACCTGTTCATGGACGAGGGCAGAAAACTCAACAATTGCCTCAAAAGAAATAAAATAATGAGCCCAAGAAATACATCGTTTTAGTATAGAAGGCAAACAAAATTTTAAATGTCTAAAATCACACGGAGTTTATAAGCACTACAATTTGATGTTTTTAGTTAGAATATTTTATTCTGTGCAAAAATTCCTATAAATTCATAAGATGTCTGCTTTATTTCAGTGAACATACAGGAAAACATGTCAGATAATTTTAATGTAAAAAATTATTTTTATTGTGATTTTCAAAAGGACTTTCTCAGTTTAAAAGGCCCACGGGATAATGAGATTTCTGAGAACAGACGTGTCCTCAGGACTGCAGGTCAGCTGCTTTTTACAGCCCCCATCATCTCACAAACGGAATAAATTTGCTCCAGTAATCAGAGGTCCGGCTATCTACTCAGGCCCATGGTGTTCCAAAGATATTGGCTAATAAACCCCATTCCAGGTCTATTTACTCCACTTTGACATGGTCACTTCAGCTGCACGTCTGTATCTGAACAAATTCTCCACAGACAAATTTAACAAAATTCAAGAATTCTTACAATACATAACAAAAAAATAAAAAAAACTCAATAAAACTGAAGATAACTATAAACATAAAGTGAAACCGCAGCCATAATGTTAAAAACACCTGCAGTAACATCAGCACATTAGGAGGTGTAGCATGTATTGAAGAAATGCATATCGCTCGCTGCTTTTCATGCCAGAGCCTGAAACTTAAATAAATGTATCTAACAAAGTTAAGTCAGGTCCTGTGGATGGATTCAAAAAATTAAACAAAATAAAAAATACAATTTAAAATTTAAAATGTGCCTTTTATCCAAAAGACTTTGTCAAAATGAGGATCTGGAACAAACTCAGTCTTATAAATAGCACCTTTTCATAGAGGTGCAACCAGTTTGTTGTTGACATCCAGAACTAGCTGTCATGATAAAGGAGGACCAACACCCTAATGACTGATCGTTAGTGCCCTGATGGCCACTTGCTATTCACAGGAGGCTGAGTGATACTAGTGTGAGGATCTGGACCGGGTCCGTCGCTGAAACCGGTCTGACTCCCCACCCCGGTGTCTTGTTCTTTTATTCCCAGATGGAGAGGAAACTCGCTCTAACTCAAATAAATCAAGATATATAATTTCCCTTTACCAATTTAATGTTCATCAGGCAGGAGAAAGTTAGTTTTCGGCGCTGAGGCGTCCGTCCAACTCGTCTTAATCCGGAAGTGGAAGCGGGGCGCGCCGTGTCACAGAACGCCCCAGTTTATATTTGCCCTTCACTTCCTGGAGCTCAGCCTATCAGATTGCATCAGTGTGGTGACTATGTGTGACATCACTGGGCTTCGCTGTTTCTGCTGGTGAAAAATGGGTGTAAAATGTTAATTTATCTAAGTGATGGAAGCCAGCAAAATAAAAAAAAATACTCCTTATCGGTGTTGACTCTGGGAAGCTCACTCAGTGCAGCTGAGCCCATCTCATGAGTACAGAACTGGGCCAGAGACTAGTCCAACTTTGTGCAGACAAGAACGGGGGTCTCAGCATGATAAAGTAGGATAACTCTAATACTAGCAATAACAGCATTGTAAGAGGGGGACAGTTGGGCAGCCTTTTCACAAAAAACAATGTCTTCCTTCACTCCTCTCTCCCACCATTGTTCCTCTCCATCAAGTATGTGAACATCTTCATCCCTGAAAGAGTGACCGCCAGCCTGCAGATGAGTGTAAACCACAGGGTCCTGGCCTGATCATGTTGCTCTTCTCTTCTTCTCTTAAATAATTTAGTTATCAATTTTACAGAACTGTCGCCTTTTGTGTAAACCTTAAAAATAACATGATGTGCAATTCTATATTATGAAATCTCACAATGTTTTAGCTCTTATGATTGTCAGGAAGTACAAGAAGAAATTTTAGCTAACTGAAAGATGTGTCAATAAAATGAGTTGAAGTCAAGTTTGTGTTTTCTGAGCTTGATCAGCTGAAGTGGGCATCTTGAATCAGGTTGACTGCAAATGCTAAGCACGTATAAATGTCAATACCATTCACTGATTCATGAAATAAATTGCGAACAAGTCAAAGAAATCCTCATGCATGGTCAAAACATTATTGCCCTTCATCCTTTAAAGCAGAGGTTTACATGTATTGGTCTTGTTTTTCAAAGATCCATAGTAACCATTTTGACTCTTGAGAGTTTAAGAGCATTAAGGATCTTAGTATCTTCGTCTTTTTTTTGTGTTAATTTTTATGCAACAGCATGATGCTAACACCCTGCGTAACTGAAGCTATTATCAGGAGACTTGAGCAGGTCAAGGGTTTGGTTCAGTGTTGCCTGATCTTGCGATAGAAATAAGCAACCAGCTCTATGAGAAAAAGCCCAACTGGCAACCCAACACATTGTGTAAAACGTGCTGTTTTTAAACAGTAAGTAAACTTTTTTTTTTATATATAGCACCTTTTACAGGTCAGAAACCAAAAGTTCTTTACAGAATAAAAGACATAAAAACACAAGATAAAAAATAAAAGATAAAACAACATGTTTATGACATAGGACAATATAAAACTAATTTGAAGCCAATCTAAACAAATGTGTCTTCAGCTGCTTTTTAAAAGTATTAAAAGAATCAAGGCAGCACAAAGTCAGAGGCAATGCATTCCACAGTCTGGGGGCCACAGCCCTAAAAGCGTTATCCCCTCTGGTCTTAAAATGAGTTCTCGGGACCATTAACAGCCTTTGACTTGAAGATCTGAGGCTCCGAGAAGAGGAGTAGGGCTCTAAAAGGTCAGAAATGTAGACTGGGACTTGACCACTCAGGGCTCTACAATAAGAAATAAAATTTGAAAATGAATTCTAAAATGTACCGGTAGCCAATGTAAAGAGATTAAAACTGGCGTTATGTGCTGTACTTTCCGTGTATTGGTTAAAAGCCTTGCAGCAGCATTCGGAACTGACTGCAAATGATCAAGATCCTTCTTAATCAACCACATGAAAAGACTATTACAATAATCCAGACGGGATGTAATAAAAGCATGGATAATCATCTCTAATTCGGCTTTTGACACAAGAGACTTGAGCCTAGAAATATTTCAGAAACAGAATAGAAACAGTATAACATACATTTATTATGGCATTACACATAAACAACAGCAAAAGTATGATAAACACTTTGAACAGCATACGTTTAAGCTCTCATTAAAAAAAAAATACATTTTGCATATGTAAAAAATACGTAACTCATATTTTTTCTACATATTTTTAAAAACAAAACATCCTGACGTCTGCGTGTGAGTGGAGCCCCCTAGTGGTCGGCCACAGTATGAGTGTTTGTTTGGATGTGCACTTGTCATCTCGCCAACTCGGGAAGGAGCAATAAACATGAAACGAGGGCGTGGAAGGGACAAACTACCTACTACCACTCGTCTTTTGCGTTATTGTGCGGAGCTGGAAGATAATCAATTACTTTCATTCGGAAAGAAAGTCAAGCCCAAATAAGCAAATTCACGTTCAAAAACAAGCCCAAAAAAACGCAACTCACAAGATTTGCAAGCGACATTAGAAAATATCAAGCCCGAAGTCGCTTATAATAAGCAGACTTGGCAACACTGGTTTGATTCACCTTCCTGCATTCTGGATTGCTCACAAACTAAATATTTCATTGTCAACATCTGTTGCGTAACACAAACCTTGTGAGGGCAGAGCAAACAGTTTGATTCTAGTTTGTTTAAACAGCGCAGCTCAGCGTGACACCGACTTGTCTTCAAGGACTATTTGAAGTTCTTTGAAATCCCTCAGCTTTTGATGTCCATCTTTTTTTATTCTGCACTCCGTCTGCTCTGAATTTTAACACTCGTGTTGTGCAGCCTGCATAAGAAATCCCCAATCAGGTCATTCGTTTGTTTCGATCTTCGTCTTCTTTTCCTTTGACTTTTTCCGTTCCCTTTTCCTCCCACTGCCATCTTGAATGGTCAGAGCTCCCGTTCATCAATGTAAAGGAATTGCTGACAAAATCTTGTTCTTTTTCGTTGCTCCAGTCTTTTGTGCTCTCTGTTTTCAGGATTTCCCTCTGCTCCAGCTGGGTGATGTGGTGAATGACCAGTCCAACATTGTGGGGTTCTCTATGCTGAACAGGAGCCATCCTTTCTACCTGGAGTTCATAAGAAGCCTGAATCTTTCTTGGAAGGAAGGTTGCAACATCAGTCCCTACCCAGGACCAGCGGTGAGACGACAATAGGGGAGGCCGGGGATGGTTGTAACAATTTTTGACATTTCTGTTTGTAACTTGGAACTCTTTTAAGGCAGTAATTTCAATTTGTGAAACAGTCGTTTCAATTTATGAAACAAATTATTTACCTTTATGCAAATGATTATGATTTATGCAAACTTAAATTCAAAGGAAGCATCAAAAGAAGAAATAAAATACAGTTTGATGTGAACTGGAACTCTGCCATGGTCGTTACAATCCAGAGCTGTTTGTTGCGTTGGAAGCTTTGATAAGAAGCAATCGTACTGATTTTTAAAAAAACAAACAAACAAACAAAAAACTACTGACTTAGTTTTTTTCTTACTTATTTTCTGACTTATTACTGACTTACTTACTGAATGATACTTACTTTCTGACTTACCATACTTACTTATTTACTTGCTGACTGACTTACTTTCAGACTTACTTTCTGACTAACTAACTTACTTAGTTAATTTTTGACTTACTTAATTACTGTACTTACTTATTTACTTACTTTCTGACTTAACTACTTTCTGACTTACTTTCTGACAATACTTTCTGACTTACTTACTTACTGACTT